TTTTTGACAAGCTAGCAGTTAGCAATGTGTTCCTGGGGAACTAGGCTAAGCGTTAAAGCTCATTGTTATTATCACAGGTTTGGTTATACAAATGTACGTCTTTTAAAAAAAGGTAGACTTTCCTAGGTGTGTTTTCAAAGATAATTCACATCGTTTATGGTCACGACAGTAACTATCTACAAACTTCTGGAAACTACGACCAAGTTACAACAGTACTGATGGCAGCTATGACTAGTGATGTTACGTATTGCGCCGAGGCTTTGGAGCGTGTGTCGAGTAATCCCCGAAGCTTTTTATGAAGCCTGTATCGAGGTTTACTCGTTTAGTGACGTCACCGATGACAAACGAAGCCTCGCTGCCTGTCGATACCACGTGACTGCTTCAGAAAGCGATTCAGATTGGTTGAACCGTTGAACCAAGAACGATATTACCCCTCCTGTACCCGGGCCCGGTGCTGACACGATAGAATTAAGAGAGCTCAGACCCTCACTTATATAGAGGTCGGAACATGTCATAATTATAAATAAATAAAAGCATAAAATGTAGGAATACACTGCAGTGTTTTCAGGAAGTATTAGTGTACGTGCTGTGGCTCAGCTGGAAAGCAGTTGACTGTCAACCGCAAGGTCCCTGGTTAAACGACTGGTCAAAACGTATTTTTTTTGTTTATAAGAGTACAGCTAAATGTGATAATGTAGTTAATAAATGTATTCTTTGATATGGTTTAGCCTTTCTCAGGCTACAACATGGTTAAGTTTAAGAATATTATTAAGGAATACAAATCCGTCTTTGCAATGTTTAGCAGCCTCCTTAGGCTTTTCAATCACAATCATTAAACTGGAATAAATACAATATTGTTAACATGAAAATATGATTTTATGTTTGTTGTTTAGAGTTATTCTAAGGCTTTACTCATTGGGAACTCGGTATGAGATGTCCAATCTGCCTGTTTTACACACTTTGACCAACAGGGGGGTTTGTGTTCAAATGAAGCCCATGATGAAGCCTCATGAGATGAACCCTTTTGCGAACCAATTGCCTGGAAAGCTTCAAAGCTTCATAAGGCTTCATCTCGCCATTACTAAAGATCGCCACTGGGCTTAAAACTAAAGACAGAGCCACGCAAAAACTGCGGCATGTGTACAGCTCCTTATGGGTACTGCAATTTTTGGAAGTGGTGGAGCGGCGTTCTGGTGCTCCCCGTCAGAACTGCACCCCTGTCAGACCAGACATATACTACGTGATAGTGATGTGTCGGTCGCGAACGAGCCGATTCTTTTGAACGGCTCTTTGATATGAACGAGGGGAATCGAGTCGTACTTGGTGAGAGCCGTTCTTGTTATCGTTCAATCGTTTGTCCGCACTCACTGCCTGCCAAAATCCACTAGCCTTTTAAAAAGCTTGATTTTGTTCCCCAAAACGTATTCTGTGAAGACCCGCCCCTACTCTGACTGCATCTATCTTCGACACGGAAACCCTGTCTGCTCCTCACAGCAGCTCCTCGCGAGCAGTTGCACGTCGCTTGACCAATCAGGGCACACTGGGCTCACAGGGGGGGGGCGAGCTCCAACAATCCATTTAGGACAGAGAGTGAACACCAGGTTTCAGCACGAGGAGTGAGATGGGGTGGGTCTTAACGGAATACGCGAGAGAGAGAAGTCATAACAAGTGGTACAGGACAGGTAGACAACGTGTTTTTCGGATGGAAAATGAGCCAAACGCGAAAACACAGTTGGATGCTGGAGGCTACATTCAAAATACATTCACTGACATGAATATGGCGCCACCTTTTGTCATGTTTACAATGCAGATTATTGACATTAGGTCTGGCAATACAGTCAATCATTATCCTGGTGATTATTTCGCAGATAAACCTAGTAACCCCGCCCCCTTTAAAAAAACGGCTCTTTTGAACGACTCTTTTGAACGGCTCTTTGAAAGGAACGGAGCCATAAGATCCGGCTCCCTTCAAAGAGCCATAAATCCCATCACTACTACGTGATGACACCTTTATACACAGTCTATGGATGACGCGTTAGGCTCGTGTTGTGTTCAAGGACCCCGACCTTGGCCAGGAAAAACAGGCACTCGCTTGTTTAATTTGTTTGCAGTCTAGATTTCTTAATTTTTTTTCTTTTTTGCGGGAGCCGGAGATTCCCCACCCCTGCTGTAAATGATCTCTCCAATAAAACAATTTAGTGCCGGATGTACAAAGATATTAATAGGAGGATGTGCAAAACAGACAAACGTATAGGCTTTATTAAAACATTAAATAATATTTTAGGTTAAGGTCTTCTTTTAAATGCATGTAAGCAAAAAGCTTTGGGGTTATCTACAGATAAATATTAAGCCTGACAAAGTACTTAAAGTAATATATGTATAAGTAATAATATATTGCATGGTTTGTTTTGGGACTTGACAATCAACTTTCCTGCAATGTTAACTGTTGAAGCACTTATTTTAACCGATATTATACATATTTATTATACTCTTATACGATGTATGTAGATAGAATAAGAAATGTGCAGAATATGATAGTTTAATGGTGGAGGTACACACATATTGATAGATGTCTTGTAATGCACTGTTGAGGAACCTGCGACCCAAGCTTTTCATTCATTGCATAACTACACCAGTTGTGTGATATGTCAATAAACCTTTGACAATCTTGAAATCTTGAAAGAGATGTGCAAAATAGCCATTATATACAGTTTTTAATGAACAATTAGAGAATAACGAGTAATGAATATGCTTTATAAGGATCTGCAGATACATTTTTTGTCTTCTCAAGCACCCATTATCAAATATCTTGCCTGATTGTTGACACTTGACAATCACCTTCACTGAATTTTACTCAGGTGTAACTAAAGTCTGATTTAAGGGTTGTTTATATTTCACATCATTAATCCAAATCTGTAAAGTAACTCAAATAAATGTAGTGGAGTAAAAAGACCACGTTAACCTTAAAGAAAGCCCTCAGGATTACAAAAGACCCCCATCACCCCAGCCACAAACTGTTCTGTCTGCTGCCGCCTTTGTGGCTGGGGTGATGGGGGTCTTTTGTAATCCTGAGGGCTTTCTTTAAGGTTAACGTGGTCTTTTTACTCCACTACNAAGACTTCCAAAATTTATTAGTTTGCAAAAGCAGAATGTGGCTTTGGCATGTGAGGCGATTCAAACAAACGGGACAAACAACTCGTCATGACGAGAACGTGACAACATTGATTTTCCGAAGTTGAACATGTAAATCTAGACATAAAAAACTATACCTAAAATTAGCCGCACTGCAACTTCGTCGCGGGACGACACAAGCAAATACCGTATTCAACTAAACAAGACCGCTATCAAATACTAATCTTAATTATTTCACCCCCACGACACCATAAAGCAGACTTGTTGCACAGGCAGAATTACACACAGTTGTGTCGGATAAAGGCGATAAAAGTTTTTAGGATACCTCTTAACGTTAAACGTACAAAACAGCTTTTTCCTTGGCCTCCCAAACGAAGGCCAAAATCCTGCGAGTAGCCAAGAGCATATGACAAAGTCTATAACTTTACACCAACCTGTACAGAACCATCAAATTAGCGCCGCGAAATCGACATAGACGGCACTAGACCGCCGTGTCGAGGGGGAAGGAGAAAAAAAAAAAAAAAGTTCGATTCCGGTCTTAGCGTAAAGACGATGTTCCCGACTTAATTCCCTATAACTCCCTACAGATTTTACGACTAGACAAACGTAAAACCGAATTGTTAGTATCTGTCAAAGAAATAAAAGGAATATAGATTCCTCCGCACACCGCGGCACACTACCGGACCACAACCCTAGCCCCCAGTGTTCCAAGTTTGGGGTGACCGCAGTCGACAGCAACACAGGGACCCGTTCTGTGAAGCCAGGGTCAACGAGACACGCCCAACAGGTGATCATAACTCAACATTAAGGAAACCTATTCGCGAGGATTGTTCATGTACTTTACATAGAATCTGTTGATATACTGATTTTACGATTATCCCTGAATCGGTTTGTGTCGATTTATTAGTCTGTGGGCCACGATGCGACAGTGTCTGTGACTAGGGAGGTTGGTGTAAAATTTATTTAGTTATAATTATTTTATGGGTGGCTTTTTATGAGTGACGGAAGTCGACGTTAGGGCGGTACTTGGTGACAGTACATAGGTGGGAGCGTAGAAGGTGACGAGGGTAAATTATTTGATGGGGTCCCGCGGGTGTCATGGGAGTCCTTAAGTTGATGGCGGTATTTGTTGACGGTGTTTTTTTAGTGAGTTACTAACATTTTGTTGGTTCGAGCTTCTTTTTTGGATTTCTTTTTGTACTTTTACTAGTAGTTGTATTTTTGATATTAATATAGATTTGCTTGAAGTAATTAGGTGAGTTTGTCGTTACTTCGTCTCCTTTTCAAAAGACTGAGAAGTTTGGTGTTATTAGTACTTGAGTGTTGTTTATGTTAATTTTTCTACGCCGGGTCTTTTGATGTGTAGGAGTCGTTAAGAATATCTTATTTCTCTTGGTTTTTGGGTCACTGCTGATGTATTTAATGTCGTAGAACAAAACGTGATCTGTCTCTTCAATTTGTGTCAACCACAGACCTTATTTGGAGCTATTTTCCAAAATCCTATGGAGAAATTGCATTGCTTTTTGTCGAAGGAACCGGAAGTGTTAAAATTGCTAACTTACTTCTGGGTTTTAGGACGCGTCACTGCAGTTCTCTATAGAGCGAGAGTTAGCGATGCTTGTTAATGTAAACAAACACCAAATTACGTCCAAAACCGGTCGCGCATTGTTTCTGATATTACGTCATATCCAGGAAATCTGGATCAGCTCCGTTGTACCCCCGTTTTTAGAGATTTGGCTACGGAGGAAAAGAGAGGGTTTTGTTTTCTGACGCTGCGTGAGTTCCCTGACAAACCGGGGACACATATTTATTTATAAAAGACATCAAAAAGTGCATTTTGCATGAGAGGTCCCCCTTTAAATATCTAATCTGCTTCTTTAATATTTTTCAGATTGGATTATGGAAAGAAGCGTGGAAGCAACAGAGAGGAGAGGGAGAGGGAGCGACTGAAGCACAAGTACAAGAAGGAGTTCAAGGGCGCTCTGAGGGAGATCAGGAAGGACACGCGCTTCCTGGCCAGAGAGAAGCTCAACGAGGTCATGGACAGGTACGCATAACACCAGGATCCATGAGGAAGTGAACCAAAATGCTTCTCTAAAATGCTTCTGTTACTAAAAGCTTCTAACTGTCGACTCGTTCTGCTTTTCAGAGATTCGGAGAGAAAGAAGAAGGTGAGGGAGCTCTTCGGAAGCTTAGCCACTCAGGAGGGAGAGTGGAAGGCCCTGAAGAGGAGGAAAAACAAGTAGAAGTCTTCATCGCGTCTCTCCATCACCTGTTTCCCGTCATATGGACATCCAACAGCCTGTACAAGGTTGAATTTGGTGGAACTGGGAACTGTTTTGTGCTTAAAAGATTCATTTTGAATCACAAGAGGATACATTTACCTTCTTTATTGCAACATGCATTTTAGACTGTCAAATCGCTGTCAGAAATGCAAAGAGTTGTCAAATATTATGATGTAGGCGTTGGATGTGACGATTGGGATACTGTTGTTGGACGTGTCAGTCAACACAACAGAGATTACTGGGTTTTCTTATTCCTTTATTCTCCTCAGAAACCATCCCTATTATGTGCTTGAATACAGAACAAATAAATGACTGTTCTTTTCCATCAATAATTGTTATGTTTCTCCAGTTAAGTCAATATTTAGGTTTATTCCAACCCTGATGAATATGTAAAATCATTACTAAGTCAAATGCTCGGGAGAGGGCAATGCTAACGACATGATTTGAACTGTTACATAAAATGTGTGCATTGCTCAGTGGGCGTCTTATGAGGGAGAGGAGCCAGTTTTTACTTTATTAAATGTTTTGAAATGAGAATGAAACAACAGCCCCACAGCTATGTGTAGTCTCAGGATAGATAGACATTTAGATAAGATAAGAGGTACTTTATTGATCCCAAATTGGGAAATGTTTGCGTTGCAGCAGCATAAAAAACAACAAAATATGACATTGCACATAAGTAGATATTAAAGAGTAGAAATAAACAACACTAGAAAATATGCAGTAGACCGTGAAGGTAAAAGATCGATATACTCTGACAATAAAACACTATTGAAGGGCTTTAGACACAATATAAAGAAGATTAATCTTTATTAATCTCTTTAGGGGGAAATTCAGTTTTTCACTCTGGCTTGTATTTTTGTTTAATACACACACAGTATACAGGTAGGGGCACACATGCACATGCAATACACACACAGTTATACACACTATACAGAATAAACATGCACATGCATCTGGAGAGGGCCAGAGCGAAGAGGCTGCCAGTCTAGCCGGCGCCTGGGAGCAGTTAGGGGTTCGGTGCTTTGCTCAAGGGCACCCCGGCAGGGCCCAGGAGTTGAACTGGCACCTATAGCTACCAGTCCACTCTGTGGTTTTTTGGTCGATTAGGACTTCGAATCGGTGACCCTTCGGTCCCTACAGACTGAGCCACTGCCGCCCAAAAGCAGGACATTATAGACATTAAGAGTGTAGGGAATGGAATAATAAATGTGAAACGTGCAGTGTGTCAGTGTGAGCTACCCGAGATATATACTCTTGGATCACGACCATCTGGATCATGACCATCTTCTCAAGTACCACAGTCATTTATTGACTTTAGGACTTAAGTACATGGCTGCCATTTCCCATTTATTTTTCAGACAAAACTGTGATAAAGTTGATAAACAAACAAATCCAGTCAAATGTAAAGTTCCAGCCCTTTCACTAAGTGTATAATACATTTATATAATATGCACAAAAACATCTATTCTCCCAAAATGTCAGCAGCGTTCTGTTCAGGGATCCTCTTAGCTCTGGCCAAAATAAATCAGAAAACAATATAAATCCTCAACGTCATGTTGTTTTCTCAGTGGCCGTCTCTATATGGAGCCGCGGTGAACAATAACAACAAGGAGTCAGCAGGGACCACACAGGAAACACTAGTTGACAGGTGTATACAATAACAAGTGCAGGATTCATTAGTACCAATTGGAAGTGAAAAGTAGAATTTAAATGACTCACTCTGTTTCTAGGGAGCACAGACCTTTATGTAAATTGCTGGAGTGATTCACAAAGGCTGTCTTTAAATCTGGAAGAAATGAAACATGCTTTCACTTTTTGGGAGAAAATTCAAATTAAGCCAAATGTGAAATACCTGCTTTCGAGTGGTGCGGCTGTGGATGGATGTGTAGTGAACAACAGTATTCCTCCTCCTCTCACGTTATAGAGCCTGCATCAAGGCCAACATATTCTTTTGTAATAACATACTGTGCAGGAAGATTGCTGCCTTTAAAGACATCTTTTTCTCTGATGAAAATAACAGTACGTTTAATAACACATTCTTATATTCTTGCCAGATATATTGAAATCCTTCGAACAGGAACATGTTTTTGGTTTACATCTGGCTTACCGACAGAAAGACACGCACGTTATTGTGGCTGGCTGTTTTTTAACCTAATTCCTCGTTAGATAATGAGAGGGATAGGCAGCTTGACATGCAGAGTTTAGGCATCCAAATGTTACATTGTCTTAGTTTAGGCTTGCAGTGATTTTGTTGCGTTTACAGTGTAAATACAAATATCAATTTATTTATTTTTCTGAAAAAATGATCAAAACGGGAGTAACTAAATGAAAAAGAAAACATCGGCAACATCTCACTTTTTCTTTTTTTACACATTTTATTAAACATTTAACTCCAAATAAATCCATATCACAAGCAGAGTAGTTGTACATGCCCTTGGTTTCCAAAAGTCCATTCAATATGACATATTTATGTTACAGCAGTGATAACTTAAAAAATACAATATGAATGCACAAATAGCTTAGCACTTTATATAGTCCACCGCAGAAAACAGTGACGGTTTACAGACAAAAATAGAGATTATCATTATGCTTCCATTTCAAACAGATTACTGTAAATTGGTAATTTATATAGAGACACTTAGGTGCTTGAAGTGGTACTTTTCCATGTTTGAGTTATTGACATAGCCATACAGTTGACAAGAAACATACATAAAGACAAACACATACACACTGTAAATGTGATCTGGTCCCTTTTAGGACTGATGTGTACACACACACACACACACACACACACACACCCACCTCTTTCTTTAGAACATTACACATACACTGCTGTACAGACATACGTAACAACACAGACAGAAACACACACGCACACAAACATTGGGCACAGACTCCATAAAGGACCAAAACGAGGCACAACGGGACTTGGCAGAGCGACATGGAATGTTTCGATCATTGATCTTCGATAACGGATCTTTGCTCTTTCATTGTGAAGATCTCAATCATCGTCGTCCTGAGAAAGAAGAAGGACAAAAGACGGGCGCTGAAGTTAGTAGCATAGTATGCAAATATAACCCCAGGATCCAGTTGCTCCTTCAGCTTTAAATAACATCTTATTTTGTGTATAGAGAACTCAGATGAATGTGGACTCAATTATATATTTTTAATGTCTCAAGGTCCCGAGACTGCTTTTAAACATCGCTTTAAAATGTTCTAATGTAACGGTTACAGAGGTTTTTAAATTTAGATCTTGTCAGAAAAAAATCCTGTCTGACTGTCAATTCACTAATCCTTCTATAAGAATGAAATGCAGCTTCTTATAGTAATTATTATTGAATGTTGCTAGTCTTACCTCTGTAACATCAGCGGGGTCAGTATCAACCGGTGACTCTGCCATGTCCTGTACTGCTTCGTCAGTCTGGGAAAAGACACAAATACATATTTTTAAAACTTGAAATACATTTTTTTGATGAGACATCAGTTGATAAAGAAAACAAATTATCTGGTTCCAGCTTCTCACTGTAACGTTTTTCAACTGACTTTGGAGTATGGGAAAAAATCATTTGCATTTATCTTTCCTATTTTTAAAGTGTATAGAGATAACACATGTAAAAACATACTCATAAGCAGATGAATCAATCAATCAACTAATCATTAGTTGCACCCCCTAGACACAGACGCACCTCCAGACGATGAGAACAACATCTGGAAGCACTTACTGCCATTATGCCATAATTTATGCAATTTCATACAACACTTTTAAATATAAACAACTCACATAATTCACCCCACTCTTGCTTTGTCTATTAATACATTAAAAGGCACTCATTTCATGACGGACATTATGATTGGTGGCCATTCTGACTGAGTGGGATGCTGATCTGAAGCGCTAATGAAGGGGAGGGAGGTGGAGGTGTTTGTGACGTCTCTTGTCTCGCTGAAAGGACGCTCCGATTACACCGTGCCATTGAAATGACCTTCCTTAATGGGGAGCGGCCCCAGTATGTGAAGTGTGCATATGTGTGTGTGTGTGTGCGCGTGTGTGTGACACGCTCACCGGCGGCTGACATAACCTTAAACCCTGAAGCACCTTCTCTTCCTGCTGCTGGATTTAACACCACCCATCGAGCCTCCATCTGTTTACCCAGCAGAGCCGGAGAGATGTGTGCTTGTGTAAACCCACACACATCAACACCAACGTGTCTAGCCAGATACAATTTAGTCAAAAAGTTAAAGATTTGTTCAGTTATGAGGTATTACCAAATCAAATGTATCTGTGAAAACTGTCTTACGAAGCAAAATCAAAGTAATGCCTCGCCTCCAATCTGAATTGTTTTAGAGCAGAAATTGCTTTCTAGGGACCTGAAATTCAGCAGCCTCTTTTATTGCATGTCGCTGAAAAGATCCGAGCAATAAGACGTGTTTGTTGTGAAGACCATTTTCTATTTTCTGCCTCCTCAGCTCCGAGCCACTCCACTCTCGGTCTCATTTTCCTCTCCTTCTACCTCTCTGGCCTTTTCTGTCTCTTGAAATGAGTCACCAGCAGCTGCTGAATTGGTGAAACAGCTAAATGAGATTAATCAGACACCTCCGTTTGGTGTGTCTACGTGTGTGTGAGTCTGTCACAGGAGACAGTCTTTGATGGGCCCTCTCAACCCGGCATAATTTTTTTTAAATGCAATCAATATTAATGAAGTTTAATGGCTGCACCACCTGGGAATAAAGTGAGCTCAATCTGCTGCTGTCAGCGTGTCAATCTCTCGCCATGAATACCAGGATTTAGCTTTTGTCATGTGTGTTTATTCCACTCCTGGTCTGTTTGTCCATCTGTCTGTCCGAGCTGGCAGGTTGGCTCGTCATGGTTTTTCTTAATAAGACTGATCCCACTCCAGGTGGAGCTCCATCAGTGTTTTATCCCTCAGGGTGAATATCAACTATCTACCCGCCTTGATAACACAACTGCTCACAAGGATAAAATAATTCAATGGATGTTTGTGGGAAATACAACAAGCTTCTTTTGTTAATGAAATAAAATGCCTGCTATGAAGGATGAAAGCGGTAGTGAAGAATGATTTCATCGCTACGATAAAAGAACTATGATAATTTATTAAGTGTCTAATCTGATCTTTTCATAAGGTACTTTTTACTCAAAACAGCAAATGAAAGCAGAGCTGAAGAAAAGTGTGTGTGTGCTGTTATCTCGTGGTGTTCAAATTGTGTTTCTTCACTAATTAGGGGATCGAGATGAAGCATCACAACAAATATTCAATAAAGTGATGCTGTTGCCCAGGGAGACATTTAGCTGGTTTATCATTTCCTACTCCTGTCAGCAATCTTATGAGAATAAAGAGGGTAATCCCAGGAAAATTAAGCCATATTTATCGCAATACAAACCATAGGGCGATGTTACTGCTATAGTTGGTCAACGAAAGAGCGTAAAAAAACGAATGTCCCTCAAATGTAAAGATTTGTTTACGGATTTTTGTTTAGGGATGTTGTACACTGATGCATGTATCTTTCAGGTTTGACAAGCCTGTTGAATGGCCTTTCTCACAAAACATTTACTTAAAATATGTACACTGTTAACTACCATGTTAACTTGCAGTATTATTCTTTGTGAAGCCATCAACAGCCCTAAATTCCCAGTAAAAAATGACAAAGACATGGCCTCAGTGTTGGCCCTGAGCAAAAAGTCTACAATAACAGCAGCACATATTTGCTAGAGAAAGGTGAGTTTAGAAAAGAAAAGTGTAAAATATTTATTATTTTTTGTATTTGAGTTGTTTCGCAGCAGCAAATTGTTTGCTACAGTAAACTGCCTTCACCTCCTCCTCCTCCTCCTCCTTTGGATAAACGATGACCAGGCTGACAAGATGAACAAAGCAGGAAAGCTAACATTATGTAGCGGCTTTCATTACAGATGCCACACAGGCGATATGAGAAGTGACAACAAATGACTCAAGGTTAGGAGGCCATCTTGGCACAGGGAAGATTTCTAGCCAGCTGACAGCCTCTGTCATAAAATGGAGGGATGTTCTATAACGCAAACTTTAAAGATGTGCTACATATTGTAAATCAATGTGTCTCTAGAAAAGTGTGAGCATGTGGTTAGTGTGTAAGTACGGAAGTAATGATTGGGGAGATATTACATGTCAGTTAAGTCACAATATTTCACTGAATTAAGTAACATTATGGCGATTGAGTCTATCACTGACTCTCACTTATCTCCATAGGTACCACTTAAACAAGGAACACAAATGTATGAGATTGTAACTTGTAATTTTTCACTGAAATTTAAATTGATGATCAAACTGGCTGGGCTTTTCCAGAGGCCATTTTTCTTTCAGTTCAGCTTAAAACAAAGAATATATTTCTTACTTGTTTGGCAGGATCCTTCTTGACCAATCCGGTGGCAGCAGCAATGTTTCCTGCACCCTCTACAGTTTTGTGGGCCACAGCAGTAACCCCAGTAACCATTGCTCCACCCACCTGAGACACTCCAGACACAGCTGAAGAAGAAAAAGAAGAATTAAATAGATTAACCCTATAGAGATATTAAAGACTCTATTATTACCTTTAGTTTCAATACATTAACTGAGCAACCTCACAAACAGCCTGGAGGCATTTCAAAGACTTCGCTGAGTTTCACCCCGCCTATCAACGTTTGTATTATTGTAATGTGGGATTTTGCATATGAGTTCATCTTGTTACTTTTATGTAAATGTCTTGTTGTGATTGGAAAGGTTTCTGGTAGATGTGTTTTGTTTAATCCAGTGAGGCTTCATTCTTAAAGTAAGTAATAGAAATGTTTAGTTAATATATCCATTCACAACAAAACTGCTCTACTGAGGGTCATGGTCCCCAATGTAGGCTACTTGGTCCCACTGATAACAAATATTCTCCCTCATTTAGTGTCTATAAAAACCCATTCTGTATAATCACATTTTCAAAACACTCACTTTCACTTGCAGCTATGATACAACAATACTATTCCCCCAGATGCCTATATCATGAAGTCTCCTGTGGCTTATTTGCTTGTTATTTATGAGAAATAGCAAGGTATAGCCCATTGGGAGTTGGGCAGGTTTTGTAGGCGGTGAAATATGACACTTATTCACCTGCAGAGTATACAACTCTATTACTGACCACCTCCAGTGAGAATATTATCGTTTTGCTTTCATTTCAAAGATTTACTCGTAAAAAAAGTGGTGTATTTTGGAAATGTCAACATTGATATTTTTTCAGAGCAGCAAGAGAGTATAACAGTTACATTACGTTAGAATAGAAATGTAGTGTTACCTGTTGTGACTCCATCCTTTGTTTTGTTACCTGAAAAGAAAGCAGGTGAAGCTCAATCAGTGAAAATGTGAACATAATAGACAGTAGCCTATATGAAATGCTTAATAGTCAGAATACTGCTATTATAATGATGATATTGATAATAAAAATCAATCAACAAGGATTTAAAGGTTTACCATGATCAATCAAATCAATTGCCAGTACCCACCTACAAACATAACCCCATCTTTCGTCATCTCAGCTGCTCCAGTCACTCCCTGCTTGGTTTTCTCCGCCGCCAACACGACCCCATCCTTGGCTTTAGAGAAACCTTTCATTAAAGCGTCCATGGCTGCTGTGGTTATTGGCTCCAATGAACACGCACAACTGTGAGGATGGTAAAACAGACGCAATGAGAAGGCACTCCCGGATCCAAGCGCTTGGTATTAAAACGTTTCACAAGACAAAAATGCCACCGCCCTAGTTTTGTCTGAAACAGGTTTGTCAAGCCAGTATCGCCGTGTGAAATATCTGAACGAATGAGGGAGCTGAAATCCCACCTGTAGGATTTGGTTACAGCCCCACTGAGAAAATCATGAATGGATTCACTAACCATTAAAGAAAACTGATCTAGTATCATGTTGCAATGTGATATAGAGAAATTAAATAGCTCTTGAGCTGATATTTCTAGATAATTGATTAAAAACAATTGATAAATGTGGCTCACGCACCTGTTCGCTTTCACTTCCTTTACGACGAGAATGCGATGAGTCTTCCGGGATGACAGCAGAGATTCTCCCAAAGGGTAGTAAAACCGGTTTATCGTCTCCAAACTACAACTAGCCTACTCTAAAAGACGAAGGACGAGTGTGTGGTGCCTCCCGAGCAGACAGACGGACACAGACAGAGGGACAGACAGACCTCCACAGGTTTGACAGACGCCTCCTCCTACACGATCGAGAAGAGCGATTAGACCCCGTGATGCTGATGCGAGAAGAGACTCTGCTGTCTGTCTGTCTGTCTGTGACACACACGCGCGCGCACACACACACACACACACACACACACACACACACACACACACACACACACACACACACACACACACACACAAACACAGAGGGCGATTACGTAGCCTAGCTCTTTCTCTACGTGGGTTGCCCACAGCAGCGTGTAGGAGTTCAGTTAAGTTAGAAAGATACTGACGGATTCGAACTCTACGGATCAATATCTCGTAAACAAATCTTTGTTAAAACACAAATGAAGTCACCTAACAACCCAATTGTCAATTAAACAAGCCAATACTCGCCTTCCTTCGAGCTGGAATACTTACATTGGTCTCTGACTGTAACCAGAGGAGCAGGAACGTGCACAGGTATGGGCTAATGTTGTCCGGGCAACGGCCCGTTTGGCCTTTTTGGCTTACCTGCCCCTCTGGAGAGAGCGAGAGTTTGTTTTTCTTTTTTCTGTTGTGGCCGAATCAACATGATGAGCCCACAATTAGTATTGTAGCGTCTCGTTGCGGGAAACACACTTTGTCAGCGCTGTCATCTGCCGGTGCGTTAAGACCACCTCAGTGTCGGATTTTGGAAACTTGATTTTGAGTTGTCTCATGGCAGTTAGGGTATAAGGGACAAACCAGGGGGACTTTACTTCCTCTTGATACCGTCGGTTATTTACAGGAGAACACCTAAATAAAGCCTACTTGTTGTTATTGTGCTTCTGTCTTTCTGTGTCTTTTCATCTGTAAACTCCCTCAATGGGGCCGCTCGCTCTCTTTTCTTGATCGCCCTCTCACGGGTGAACAGTTCACTGTCCCGCTTCATTGAAGGATTTCTGCCATGTCTCTACCACTTTAGTTTGACCATCTCTGTTATTAAGTTATGGAATACTAAATAAACAAGTTATTAGATACCTTACCGTTACTTTGCTCATAAAGAATGATAAGAATAAGAATAATGCGTATTGAACTGGTTTAATTAATTAGTGAGTTTATTTAAGGTTAGAGGCCCTATTTTATCAGTGCCTATGTCTGGACTGCACAGCAGTTACAATGGTCCGGTCAAACTACATTATAACAGAATTGTCCCCATGTTGTCTTTAATAGTTACTAACATTAGATATTTTAATGAGATATGGACCGCAAAACAAAACATGTCCCTGGTTTTCATTTTTAAAATCAAGTCACAGAATGCAAGTAGACGCCTTAGCTTACAGTATTTTGTTATGAGATGTGAATTACTGTTCAATTTAGTTGATGTAATAATCGTTTGGTTTCTTTTAAATTAAAAACAAGTTACAATTTTCAAAAGGTCTTGTGTTTTTTTTTCGGGGGGAGGCCCTTTTTCCAGTTTAGAGCAATAAACCCTCGAAATGTCTGTGCACGTCCCTGCAGAGGAGAGACTAGTGAGCATGGAAAGTCTGCAAAGTCCAACACCATTAGACATACTTTTATACATTATTTAATAATTTCCCTGTCATACAGTCAGAATCCCTAAAGTTCTACCAAAGTAACTTCAAAAAGTGATGGATTATACTACTACTACTAGTTTTAATTGAAATATGCTTTTACAAAAAAAATGTACTCAAGTAAAAGTACAAAGTATTATCATCAAAATATAACTAAAGTACCAAAAGTAAAAGTACTCATTATGCAGATTGACCCACTTCAAAATAGTATATGTTATGATTATATATATTGATGCATATTCATCATAGCTGGTAAAGGTGAAACTATGTCTTTATTATTTTGGTTACTGCGGGTGTTTTGTGAATTTAGTCCAAGTGTAACTAAAGTCTTATTGAATTGCTGATTATGTTATATATCATATGCAAAGTAACTTAAGGTAGGCTACTACATAAATGAAGTGGGGTAAAAATACAATATTTTGAATAAAATCTCCCCTTTAATCATTACAATCCACTATGAACGCTCTGTATTCATTTTTGATTGTTCAAGATCTGCAATGTGTGTATTCATTATACTTTACATTATATTTGTCAAGTACCCCACATTTAAAATACATTTAAATATCTTGCTTTGTTTATGCATGTAATTTAATGTCTAAACAAGACGTACACAAATCCATCATAAACCCTTTCTGAAGACATGGCGCTGAATCGTTTTAAATGATGTGAAATCTTTGTGGTTTAGAAAATGAAATGAGAACAGGACTCTATAAAAAATTGGTTAATTTACCAGAAAACCAAAGCGGAAGGAAATGTAGACAGAGAACTAGCACGGATGTGAAAGAAACACCAAATTGCAGCCAAATTCTTGGTAATTATATGATCTGCTTTAGTGCCATTGTTGTGGCAAAAAAAAATAATTTGGAGCCTATTTGGTTTGTTTTAAAAAGGTTGGGTACTCAGTGGTATAGAACCCAAGAAAATGAATAACATAACGCATTAAATAAAAAAGAAATGCTGCCTACTGAATAAACTGAAACAAATGCAAAGCCTATCCATGAGGCATGAATGAGAAATTAGAGGAGAGTCTATAACTTGGAATTAGTGGTTCAAGACTTCGCTTATAACATTTGGGAAGTTCAAAATAATGAAGGCAGAATAATAATTGTTTCCTTGATCTACACAGGATGATATGGTGAAAGCAATAGAAAAATCAACGTCTACTTGAATGTTACCCATTGAACTGGACTGGAGTTGGCTTTTAATAAGAAACCAGATGGCCTCAACGCTTCCCCTCCACTACTGCTCTGTGTCTTTCTTGTGATTTCTTCTCTCTTCTAATTTCCTCTGTCCCTGCCAAAGTCTGTTGCTATGTTTCCTGCCTATGAACCATTATCCACTACGAATATTCACAGACAATTTCATAGAAAGGTGGCCAGTACTGCTAAGATTTTGGACAACAGATAAACTTGACTGAGTGAGTGACATCACTTATGTTTGAATGCAAAAATAGCCCACCTGCTGGGATACAAAAAGTGTGGTTTTAGTGGTACTGAGCAGTTAAATAACGAACACAAATAATATTATTATGGATTAATGTATGAAGGTAAACATTTTAATGTTGTTTTTCATGGTGTGCAATGGTGGAAGAAGTAAAAGTAGCATTACTTCAGTATAAAAATACTTTGTTAATGTTAATTAAAAAGTATTATCATCAAAATATAAAAGTACTCATTATGCATGATGGCCCATTTAAACACAATATTAAATTATTGTATTTAACTAATATTTAAAAATAAGTTATTTTAATTATTGATGCATTAATGTGTTCATCACTTCAATGTTGCATTGGGTAAAAGAGGGGTTCATTTGAGATTCTCTATTTACTGTACTACTGAGTAGATTATCATATAATAATAAATGATAATGTAATGAGTTGACTTATATTTTGCATTAATAACCAAAATCCACAAAGTAACCAAAGCTGTCAGATAAAGTGTAGTGAGTAAGTAAAAAGCAAAATATTTGCCGACAAAATGTAGTGGAGTAAAAGTGTAAGTAGCATAATGTGAAAATACTCAAAGTACAAGTACCTCAATGTATTACTTAAGTACAGTAGCCTACTTGAGTAAATGTGAAGGCCTGAGTCTGGGTAAACGTCAATGCGCATGCGCTGATTGCTAATTAGGCCAACCTGTTGTCATAGCTAGTGATGGCGAGATGAAGCCTTATGAAGCTTTGAAGCTTTCCAGCCAATTGGTTCGCAAAAGGGTTCATCTCATGAGGCTTCATCATGGTCTTCATTTGAACGATTTGAACACAAACCCCCCTGTTGGTCAAAGTGTGTAAAACAGGCAGATTGGACATCTGAACAGTGTGCTCTATCTCATACCGAGTTCCCAATGAGTAAAGCCTTAGAATACCTCTAAACAACAAACATAAAATCATATATTCATGTTAACAATATTGTATTTATTCCAGTTTAATGATTGTAATTGAAAAGCCTAAGGAGGCTGGTAAACATTGCAAAGAGGGATTTGTATTCCTTAATAATATTCGTAAACTTAACCATGTTGTAGCCTGAGAAAGGCTAAACCATATCAAAGAATACATTTATTTACTACATTATCTCATTTAGCTGTACCTTTTAAAAATAAAGACGTAGGCCTATTGACCAGTCGTTGAACCAGGGACCTTGCGGTTGACAGGCAACTGCTTTCTGGCTGAGCCACAGCACGTACACTAATACTTCCTGAAAACACTGTAGTATATTTAGTCCTGTATTTATTCATTTATTTTTGTATTCCTACATTTATTTATGCTTTTATTTATTTATGCTTTTATTTATTTATACGTATGACATGTATATTTAATTATGTTTGAACAAACACTGGGTAAACCCACCATCAATATAAATTCTAATCCTATCTTTATATAATGCCTATATAATGAAACATATGAA